ATGAGATAAACAGCGTCAAAGGGTCGGCTTAAGAGTTGTTGGAAGTGTGTACCAAGACAAGGTCAGGCTAGCTGTAGTTGTTTAGCTCCAGTAAAGCACAGACAGGAGATTGATATGTATCTCACCTTTGGAAAGAAAGCGAATAAGCATATTTCTAAAAAATGTTGTAGTATCCCTTTAAGGTGGCAATCTGGGATTTATGTGGGGGTTTTTAGGGTCACAAGTGCTCACAGCTCATTGACATTTATTTATTTAGTCAGTGCCATTTTAGCTTCACTATAGGAGCCCTTTGTCCCAAAGAAGGAGTAATGACAAAAGGCAGATAAAGGGAAGTCACCACATTAAACAGCATTAAGCCACTCAGTACCAGACGCATTACCACGAGAGAAAGAGGGACTGAAGAAAGGGATGAGAGGGGAGAGAAAATGACAGCAAGGCCCAGAAAAAGAGAGCGAGGCAGTGATAAATCGGAAGACTAATCCGGGCTACTACAGGAGGATTAAATCGTTCTCTCGCTGCACGTTTGCCTGCTCCATCAGACGGCTGAGGTTAAGCAGACCGTTCTCTCCATGCCCTGTTTTTCTTCTTTTCTCTCTTTCCCTCAACCACCTTCTCTCCTTTTCTCATCCCCCTAATGGCATTAAAGAGGTGGAAGTCTTTAATCGGACAAGCAATGTAGTGAGGAAGGCCTCTGCAGAGCACCACACAAACACACACACACACACACACACACACACACACACACACACACACACACACACACACACACACACACACACACACACACTCAAGTGTTGAGCAGATGGAGTGTCGGGCTAATAGATGTCAGTGTTTCTGATAATCTGATGGAGGGGAGAGATAACAGAAAGAATCATTGATTTCCCTTGTGGCAGGTGCGTGTTAGTGTGTGCACGTGTGTGTGTGTGTGTGTGTGTGTGGGGGAGGAGGGGGCATTTCAAATTATTCATTCATATTATTAACAACAACAAAAATAAAAATACAGTCAATAATTTAAATATCTTTCAAAACGATTCTGTTATAGTATTTAATCTCACAGCGCTCCAGTTTTAGGTTTATAGTCTGTGTGTGTATTTAGGATCACACCAGAGTGAGAGAGAATCATTTACCCACCCCTAGTTAAATGCTGAGATCAAGCCTGGACAAAGCGGGCAGCTGCCCCAGGTCAGACCCAAACCCTTAGACACCCTGAAGGCTCCTGGTTCAGGCCATCACAACTTAGTTTGTGGTAAATGGGCTGCATTTCATACAGCACCGTTATCCAAAGTGCTGTACCATGTGCTCCATTCACTGACACGCTTACACATCAGTAGCAACAACCTACCATGCAAGGCACTGACCTAACCATCAGGCGCAATTTCAGTGTCTTGTTGAAGGACACTTAAACATGTGGACTGGAGGATGCTCTATCTGCTGAGCCTTTGGGGTCATTTGTAGTCATTTAATACATTGCAAATTAGATTTTTAATACTGTGTACAGCACTGAAGCGCAATATAAATTGAAGTGATAGGGGCCTTAAAACAACGCCTGCAACACTGCCAGATCTTGAGGTCCCATCTTGTAGAGGGGCCCTGAGTTAACATTTAGTCTAGCCTCTAATATTTAAGCATATATTGTGTTTACATAAAAGTAAACATAATCTGGCCCTGGCTAACATCTGGGAGCATGGTAACATCACACAAAAGGAGTCCAACTGGGCTAGAAACTTAAACAGCCAGATAGTCTTATACACACATGCATTTCTTAACATGATATAGTACAAGGACTAATGTATATGCAGAGCTGAATCTGCAGTCCACACACATTCCACATACTCTTACAATTCATAGAGTAGATGTCACACGCTGAAATCTTAACCAGTCTCTCACACGTTTTTCTTGAAGCTGCAGATAAAGAAAGATTTTTGCCACAACCTTGTAAACGTGTGATGGCAGGCGTGGGTGTTCACCTCGGCGCACACACGTGCAGCATCTCTCTGAAAGGTTCAAGCAGACACCAGAATTCTCCTTTTCCTCTTTCTGTATTCTCTGTACAACCCCCACCCCTAAGGCCCCCCCCTGCATCCCCCCTCGCTCCCCACCCCCTTCTTTCCCTCGCTGCAGTGGTAATTGGGTATGACACAGGATCAACAGGGAGAGAGCGAGGACGCATTTGAATGCGCCGAATGTCGTCTTCCTCACTTCTCTTCTCTAACCTGCTGCCTTCCAGCTCCCAGCCCTCGCTCACCGCAGTTACCGTAGCAACATCTGCGTGACCGCATCCTCCACCCTCCCTCCTCCACCCCTGTGTCATTTCTTTTATTAAGATTGGCCGTTAGTGCACAAGTGTGTGTGTGTGTGTGAGAGGCGCATAGCAGCAGAGCGTTGCCAGCCTAACTCTGTGCTCCAAGCCAATTACCACAGCCTCACTACAGAATTGAAAGCTACAACTCAGGAAGAATTACCCCGAGCAGAGAAAATGTAGCCACTTGAGTAAAACTTGTTACATTAAGTCAATCAAGTACATTATTGCACACCTGGGTACACCTCAGTGTTGCTCAAAGGGGATATCACCTGCTGTACAAGTCACACAACTGCTAGGAAAAAGTCCACACACCTTCGGAAAAAAAATCCTCCCTCATAATTCTTCTTCTCCTTTGAAAGATGTTTTTAAAACAAGGTGAATTGTAATATGATTAAACAATCATTTTCTGTTCTATTTATCTCTTCAATCATATTAAAATCTTCATTTCTCATGTAATTCTAGCTTAGGCCTGAGGACAGTCTTCTTCTTCCCTCCTCCTAATTATTGCCATTTTAGTCCCCACAAGGCTACAAGGCTGAAGCAGAGCAGGACTAGCAGCTGTTTCTAAGAGTTGTTCGAAATGGAAGCTTTTATTTGAATATGAATTTTAATACACATTTGCACCTTTTAAAGGCTGCCAGTTTAAAATTCACTATCAGCCATCTGTTGCATTGTTGCCCTACAAAACCTAATGCTTGCTTTCAAATTCTGATTTGTTCTCTTCTTTACTTTTGGAAACACAACACGGGTAAAGCTGCTGGTTTTAATATCATGTACATGTGGTTTCTTATCTTCAAATGTTTCTTTCAACATTTTTGCTTCGTATTTTAGAAATTTTACCGAATCTTTAAACTTAATAGATCATTTTAGAGCTTGATTCTCTAATCCAAAACTGCTGCTGTAGGTCGAGCTGGGGCTGAATTAGATTTTATTTGGCATATATTTAATATTCTATTAATTATTCATGCAACTGTAATTAATGAGTGAATCTGTTATCTGTTAGGTTTGATAATCATTTGCACTATATTATTTGCAAAATGTTTACTTAGTTTGTAATAAACTTTGATTGATTTATTTAAAGAAAGAAATTTGGGTGAGCTACTTTTGGGGTTCAGGCTTGCACAGAATTCTTCCGGGTTTGTGTCCGGTCGGGCCAGATCAAAGCTCTAGCCTATATCATGTATGGGGGTCATAAACAAGAATCTGTCTCTGTTGTCCCTCACAGACAATTTATTAAAAAGTTTTTACTTTATTCAGGGTTCATTTATCTGCACTTGATTGTCAATAATTATAATTTTTCCATCGTGCCATAAGCAACCACCATGGTCATTTCCCACACAAGTGCAAAACACAATAAAAGGAGTTTGTTAGCTTACTGAGGAGTTGGAGGGGTGTAGACTGTTGGCTTGCAGCTTCTTGTTCAACTACCCCTGCAATAATTAAAACTTGTCCACTGACAAAAATGTTGAAATGTCTGTGTGTTAGTTAGTAGATGCATTTTGAACCAACAATCGTTGTGAGTACTAACCAAGGATACAAATACATTGCACTTCCTTTGACTGTTTAACAATAAAACCAACTCTGTTTCACCAGTTGAATGCCTTTAATGTGAACTAGCAGCAATAGGAGTTTCGGTTTGAATTACAGATTATTTCCAGATAAAATTAGTTAATTAAAATTGAGATAAAATTAAAAACAGTAACACTGCATTATATACATGCAAAATTTCCAATGAATTCCTTGTGCATGAAGGCAATCAGAATCCAGTGTGTGAATGGCGGACTCCGCCATTAATAAAGAATGCTACTATACGGACAGGTAATAAAAGTAAAAACACTGACAGCACTGAAATGCTGACCATAAATTGTATCAAAAACTGAATTTAATTTCATGTTTAGGATTTTAACTTTAAGCAATTAGGTAAAAATATGTCAGTATATGTCAGAAGGTGGACTTATGTGAAGATAAAACCATATTATTATCACTATTTTTGCTGCTTCCCCCACATGAAAATTCAAAAGATGCACTACAGAATTATTGCCTGGGTGTATACGTGTATATATATATATAAATAACTGTATATAGTTTTATTTGTTAATATTTATTTTCTGTTATTCTAATAATTCAATAAGCTTTTTCTATGTGTTAACATAAAGGAAGTGCACACTTATAATGATACATTTCCTTGATTCCTTACTTCGATGCCATTCATCTTTGAGGGGGAGTCAGATGACTAAACCAAAGAAGGTACAACCATGGATGGAGGAGAATCACACTTGAGAAAAATAAAAACTTGGCAAGAGACGTAGATTCTACAGATTATATTCACGAACACAAGCACAAGGTTTAATTTGGTAGCATCAATTCCCTTGTTAATATTTAAAATTTCTTATGTGCCTGTCAGACTGAAACTTTGCCTTTGTAAGTTTTATAAGTATCATCATCATTCTGTTTCTACAGTTCAATTCTTGTATCTTTATTAACCAACTAATTACAGTTTTCTCTCATTTTATTAAGTGTTCTGTGATCGTTTCAGTTTGGAAGGTGAAAAGAAATTATGCATTGCTTTCAAAGAATCAATAAATCACTTAGTTGAAATGGAATGTACTTAGCTTTAAAGTGAAATAAAAAAGATAATTAAATATGCATATATACTGGTTGAGTCCGGAAAGAATAACTAAAGACGCAAACAAGACTGTCACAGGATATGAATGGTTTAATAAAATCATACTATACATCACAGGTCTGATGAATTGAAGTCATGGCCAGGGTTACCTGAGCTTATTCCTGTGTTGTTAAAAAAATACAAAACCATAAAACTCTAAAGCAGTAAAGGTAAATCAGTACTTTCATTCAGAGATCAAAATAAGGACGGTCCCTATGCACTTGATTCACCTGAAACCTGAAACGCTTTTTTTTTTTCATCTCAACAAAAGCAGCAGAGGTTCGGACGTAAACTGAAATTCACATTCAGATGAAGGATGAATAACCCTGAATGGATCTTTACAACTTAAATCTCAGAAATACTTTCTGCTGATGTTGTAAATGACTGAATTGAAAGTGTACTGACTCTGACCATGAATCTAATACACACACAACTTTTATTTTTTCAAAAGCATTCCTGTAGAATGTAGTTGTGCAGAATAACAGCAACTTTACTGGATGATACCGCAAATAAATAGCATAATAAGAAAGTTTTAAAAAACAAGGCATGCTAACAGCAAATCAACTGGCATATTTCAAAACAGGAATAAAATATGTGCCGCTGTCGGTGCCAAAGTAAAAGCCTTCGTCAAATAACAATTTTAACCTTTTCCTCCCTCTCTTCATCCGTGGTTGACCAGCAGCTTCTAAGAGAAAAAGAGAAAAAATAATTGAGAATTAGTCCATTTGCACTTCTGCCACACCCTCTAACCTTTTAGATGCTCTTTGGTGTAAGGACTGTCGGTGTTTTCAGCATACCTTTCCTGCTTTAATTGACCATCACTGAAAGGTCAGACCTGGTAATAGCAGGGATTATCTCAGAAATAGAGAGAAGCGGACCTGTTGACCGATGTTACTCAGCCCAATATGCAACTAAATGCAATAAGAGGAGGTAGACAAGATGAGAATTTCTCTCAACTTGTGACTGTTGACCCTCTTTGTTGACACAGTCTGTGTTTGGCATTTGTTGTCAGAATTTTATAGGACTGTTCCCCTTCACATTCTAAATCATTTGGCAGGTTTTGACCATTTGAGGTTCGGGCATTGACATTTTTTGTTTTTTAATCCATTAGCTATTCTGTGCTATTTTACAAAAAATATATGTAATACAATAAAATTCAGATTAGCAGACCTTTTTACAGCTGGTACATTCTGCTATTTGCATCCAAGCCATGTGATCTCTTTCCATAAAGTAGTTTACATCATTTTGTTTACTCATTGTATGTTTGGTATTTTGTAAATTGGGAATGTTGTAGAACGAGGGGAAATATATTAACCGAGAATGTGTTATTGGCTGGCATCAAACACATATCAATCATACAGCTCTTCTAATCTCCTTTCAAGTCAGTGCAATTTCCACATTATGTGCACAAACAGTTTTATTTTGAAAGAAGGGGATTCACACAATAACCTTGTCTAGCTGTAGATTCATTTGTAGCAGAGCCTGACAGATACTGGATTACTGAGACCAATGCAAATACTTGATTGTTCTGGTTCCAAAATTAGAACTTAATAGAACTGTCTTTCACTGAAGAACCATTTTCCAATATTAAGGTAACAAAAATAAGGTTTTCTGTGAGTTACATAATTTTGTTTTGCATGTACAAGGGTTATAATTAGGGACCAGCCTCGATGGTGAAACTCAGAAAACCGTATGATGCATTAGGGGTGTAAGAAAAAAATTAAAAATATCATATTGGGATATTTTTTTTTGTGATATTGTATTCTCAATTAGTATTGTGTTGTAAATGTAAACTGAGGGATATGATGTTGAATGTTACAGGGACTGTGAAATATACAAATGCAGATTCTGCTGGATTTTTATATATATGGCGTGTTCTTGTTACTATGACAGTTCTCATAATTACTTTTTTATTTTTTTTAATTGCAATGTATCGCAATATATTGAATCGTATCGCCTGTATTGTGATATGTAGTATAACGCTAGATTCTTAGCAATGCACTGCCATATTATGCATGGTATCTTTCTGGGAACCATTTCAGATAGATTCAGGTACATTCTCATGTACAGTCTCTTTAAAGTAGGGTGTAAAGAGATTGTAGATGACCTCCAAGGGCCTACCTAGCATCTATCTTAAAACAGCTACATGCAATTGATCCAAGCAAGCAGTGCAACCTCCACCTTTTAACCAAGGATCAATGAGGTCCTTGAAACCCTAGCAACTCATTGTCCCTGAGAGACAACGGGTCTGACAGCGCGATTCCAAGCTACTGTGTACGACCTTGTCTTAAACAGCGTGAGAGGGTGTCATTCACATCGGGTGCACCCCCATGAAATAAACACCTGGATATCTTGGCAAGATGATCCCAAGAGACAAACAGCCTATCAAGCCAAGGTGATAACTAGCCAATTTGAATAGAGCTTTACTACCATGTACACCTATTCCTAAACCTTGGAGTGCAACCTATTAAAATGATCAATACAAGCTATAGGTGGTAGAAAGCAACTTGTTATTGAGATGGTCTAGATCGAGTTATAGAGTATGAAGTGGATTCTTATGGGCATTTAATGGTAGTTGATTGGCCTTCTATCTGAGGGTCAAAAAACTCTTTGAAGCCTTATTGGTTATTACTTATTCTTTATGGAAAGCATAAGTAATATGCTCATTGCTATGATTACAGGGAAGTGGACCCTGACTTCTTCATCCCCCACACAGAATCACAATAAATGGAGGCCTGATTTTCAGATGCAGATGTGACACATTCAACTGCAGACACATGCAGTGTATTTATCAAACAGCTGCACAAGGCTGGAGTCGCTGATTGCGTGTAATTTTACATGCTTTGCTTTTTATGTTTATGCAACTAATGACAGCCTCAGTTTTACTTTTTATTTAGTGATGATTTTCAAATGCTGTAAATGTAGCAAGCTAATCCACTACACTCTGATAGTGAGGAAAGAATTATGATTCAGCTCAAAGCAGCAATGTGCCCAGGGCAGCCTCAGAGAGCCGCTAGCATGGATGAACACTTTTAATCTTGATATCTCGCCATTTGATGTACTGTACTGTGCAAATAAGCATTTCTATAGTGAAAATATTTAACACATGCATGTTAACACATATTTAACACATGCCTTTCTTAAAGACAAAAATGTAACTCTGCCTAAACCATTCCAGTAATTGATACAATAGTTACATATGTCATTAATCCAAGATTCTTTATCAGAAAAAAAAGCCAACGCTGTTGTAAATTTGCTTTGATTTCCAAGTCAGAAACCAACAGGCTTAGCCCTGCTTGGCTTCGGAGGCTGGACAGCAGTAGGGAGGGGGGTTGTTTTAGAATGACTACAGTCCTGCTGAAGTCCTGTAGCTCCAGCAGCCCATGTGGAACGATGCAATGAGCTAAATTGACTGAAGGCTAGGCTTGCATTGACCTGAAGCCAGCTGGCAGAGAGACATACTGCTTATATGTACTGCATGTGCATTAATGTGTGTGTGGAGAGTGCATGGTATCTGTTCTAAGCACTGAGTTCCCTCCAGCTGTGAAACTCACACCATTAAAACCACAGAGAGACTCACAGAGCAGTGTGATCAATATGGCTCCCCTCTTTTGTCCTCTCATCTCATCCCTCTGTTTTTCCCTTCTCACCTTACTCTTTTGGTCCCTTCTCTCATCTACTCCTCTATCCTATATCTTATACTCTATCCTATATCTTATATAATAGGCGTTCGCATATAGCACACTTAAATGACTTAAATGAAACCTGAGACCAAATTAGTATCATTGATGCTCCAAAAGAGGTTATGAACAAACTGCTCCTTTTAAGGAGAAACAAAGCAACAGATGCTCTCAAAAAAATTTGTGTGTGTTCAGGAGTGAAAACATTTTTGACCCTTTCAAAGGAAAAGGAAAGACCGAAGGACAGGTGATGGTGAGCTTTGACCTTTACGATCACAATTTGTCGGGTCAAAGCAGTTTTTTTGGTAAGTAGCTGTGGACCTACATTACATGTGTCAGTGAGACACTCCTGTCTTGCGCAGTACTTCCAACTTTCAAAATAACTTGGGATTTTCAATTAAATGTATCATAACAACAACAATAACAAGTACATAAGTGTTTCCTTTGAAATACATTTACATTAACAAATACAAAACCTATAATGAAAAGGAAAAAGAAAACCAATATTGCTTTCTAGAATATAGAAATGAGAGCTGCGCTTTTAAAATGAAAGAAGAGTATTTAAGACTACATATATGGTTCTACTCTATGCATCTGCTTACACTGCGGCTATTATTTTTATGTTGTATTATCTTTCTATCTTGTAATATTAAATACATACAAACTAAACCTCCACTTCAAAAGCAGCTGATGGAAAATGGTCTCTGTAGCAAAATCTATTAATATGTTATTTCCAAGGTCACCTCAGTTTGTACGTCAACATGGACAAGAAATCCTTAAAGTGCTTGGGAAAATGGAGATTTTAACATCTACAATTCTCCATTACAACTGGGCAAACTTCACCTGCTTATGAAATGTTGTGATATGACTTAAACACCAGAGCAGGAACAAAATAAAGCTTGTGGTCACATTATTTTCTCTTGATGATTGTGATAAGCTTACCTCTGTTAATGACCTTGTGGTCACAAGGAAAAAGGGAGCTGCAAATATCTAGCTCTACCAGTCCTACCTGTTGCATTGGTATAACTTTGTTTGCACTAGCAAAGTAATTTGTCTGGTTAAAGGATGGGGCTGATGTTTGTTTATATTTTTCTATCTATCAATAAATCTTGTGAAAACACCAAAACGACAATGTGTTAGTACGCTTCTCAATACTTTCTGACCTCCCAGTCTGTTGCACTCAGGTCAAAGCTAAATGGTTCCTAATTAAGATGTGAATATCTAAAAATGGTAACTTGGGGCGCATGGTAGCTCACCTGGTAGAGTTCGTGCCCCATGTAGGCGTCCTTACTTACTCCATCTTTACCTGTCCTATAAAATAAAGGCATAAAAAGCCCCAGAAATATCTTTCTAAAAAAAAAAAAAAAAAAAAGTTACTAATGTATTGCTTCTTGAAAGAATGAGTATTTATGGCAGGAGGACGGTGTATGTGGGATTGACTCAAATAATCTACATTACAATGGTAATGAATGAACATGTCACCTAGTACTACAGTGTAGCTTACAGATGTGTTTTTAATTGTTTTTGGACAACAACGGAGGTCTATGTCACAGATATCAAATAAACACAGAGAACACCTAAGATTCCAGGTGCAATTCATTGTTGGTTTTAATAATGGGATTTATCACCAGACTTACAGACTATAATATGTTCCATATGTTGCTCTTCCCTTGCTCTATTCTTATCTTTTATCTTTTGATTTCAGCTCCAGAAAAAGCAACATTACAAAACAGCTACCGGCATCCAACCTACTACTGCCGTTATTTAGCTGGCTTCAAATGAGGCTTAACGTTTACACTGTTTTGCTCCACTGTCCCTCAATATTACAACATTAGCCCAAAATCCCCAAGCCTGAGGCAGTAACAAGCTAAAGCAAAGTTCAGCAGGCTAAACAACACAATTAACACTAAAACAACATAAAATATGGGGTTGGGTCTTGGATACCTGTTAACATTATTGATCCATCATTGAGCTTGAACAGTTAACCCTGATAAAGAAAAGCACT